ATGTACAATGGCAGGAAGCACCGCCTCCTTTGGGCTGTGTAGCCCAAGGTCATGATGGAGCAAATACCACTACATTTCCCTTTTTGTCTAAATAAGAAGGTTCTAATCTTAATGCAAACTATATAGAATAAGAATGATTATCAAGTATTGTCCAGGAAAAACAAAGGGCAATAACATAAACAAAAAGGAATCTATAACCATCAAAAATAACATCAAACAAGAAAGACATGCTAAATGCCCAGAAATGTCCAGAACATAGGTAAATGGCAAATTACTGAGATTACTCCAATAGCTTCAAGATTCTAACTCTAGTACTAATATGTTCTAGCTAAGATACAAGAAGATTGTAACTGTAACTATCTAGTCTTCAACTCCATCAAAAACCTGAGCAGGAACATAATAATACCTGAGAAAATGGAAAATGCAAGTAAATTATTTCCAAAATTCTTGTAAGAACAGAGACAGCTGGCAGCCTGGGCAGTCACCTAAAGTTTCTCAGCGTTGTTGGGGCTTCTAATTTGGTTACAGGCCTAGAATATCTGACAGACCTGTAGTGGGTAGCCATTCCAGCTTTGACCTGGAAGCTTTAACCCCCATTGAGGCTTCAGTAATGGTCACACCTACAAGGCAGGGCTGAGAGAGGATGTTAAAGACCCCAGATCTGGATGTGCAGGGTCTCTTGGTTCCTGGACCCTGAAAGCTTGAGCTAGACCAAGCAGAGTTCTCCAGAGAACACTGCCGGACAGTGCCACACCTTTCCCAGACCCTGTAGCCTATCCCTTCACTTGTAAGTTACCCCACAAAATAAACCTCCCTTTTAACTATGTGGAGTGGCCTTAATAGTTTCACCAATACAGACCATTTTCAGAAGCAGGAATTCTGAAAGACCATCTTACTCTGTCTTGGTAAGGTTCAGTAGTCACTTTTGTGTCCTTGTGTCCTGCTCATCCTGAAAGGACAGCATTCATACTGTCAGCAGTCAAGGCAAGGACAATTCTTTGCCCAGCAGGCTAATTTGTGCCAAAAAGAATACAAACATCCAAACGGGAATGTCTTAGAAGCCCAACATTCTCTCGGGATCAGATTGGTGCTGCCAGGAGCAATCATGTCTCAATCAACAGAATTCTAAGTTATCAAAACATTTAAATGCCATATTCTCTAGGTCTATGAAATGTTTGAAGATTACCTATCCATCTGATATATATTTTCGTAAATCTGGACAACCTAACATAGCTATAGAAATTATAAGCATGTGTGACTATAGTTCTATAAGTCTTATCTACCTAAATAACTTAAAGACTAAGGCTTCACATTAAAAAGGTAAACAGTCTATAAGCAGATGTACCATATAAGGACAATGACCTCAAAATTGCGACAATACACAAAATATCTTAAATACAGGTAGAAATGTATAGTGCAATATGCAATATGACAATATCCTTAATTTGTATCAATATACAAAACATCCTAAACAGAAGTAGAACATATAGTATGATAAATATAATATTACACTTGTATCAATATACAAAATATTTCAAACAGGAGTAGGATCATGTGTACAATACAACAAATACAGTTTTGTATTTGTATCAATATACAAATGATCTTAAACAGGAATATAAGAATAGTTTACATTTGGATCAATATATAAGAATCCATATCAGTCCAAATTATCTAAGGCTGATATTTTACTGAATTAGTTTACTAGTAAATACAATAATCTTCCTTAATATCCTATACCTATCCATTTCCCTTTTTCTTTTCTAAAAGAGAATACTGAGTCCAAATTTTATTGTTCCACCTCAAACTCTATAACCATCCATCCATAACCCTGAGAAAATTGAAACCATTGGGAGAGGGGTGTTGTTTTCTTAGAATGACTTCCTGCTGTTTAGGGGGCGATGGTATCTCTGTGGGGCCCTGCAAGATATCTTAGATAGTTAGGTCTCAATAGGACTAGCCATAGAGTCTGCAGCCAGTCTCAGTAATGGATAAGATTGTCTGAGATTCTGGATGGAAGTGTAGTATGATGGACCATCACATCATAGAACTGTCCTGAGGAGTTTTTAGTCCAAAGCTGATCATTGAGTAATGTTCTTAGGTACCATGGCATCTTTCTGAACAGAGTAGAGTCATTGTTGTGGGGCCCCATCTTCCTTCTGGAGACTTCAGAGATTGCTATTGGGAAGACTTATTTTCACTGTGGAAAACTGCCTGGCTAGCTCAGTCAGTAGAGCATGGAACTCTTAATCTATTAAATGGGTAACAGAATTTATTAAGATATACATTAAGAAAATACACTTACGAATACTGAATGGAGTAGACAGCTGAAGTTGTCCTCTGATTTGACCAGGAATGAATCCACCTCACAGGCAGGAGCAGGGAGAAGGGGCATATGATCCTTCTTCAGCTCCTTATAAGAGGTCAAGTACAACAGCAGGAAGCACCTCCTCCTTTGGGCCATATAACCCAAGGTCATGGGGGGAGCAAATACCACTACACTTGTTCTTTAAAGCACTTCTCTATGGCCTCTTATAATCACTAGCACAGAGAGCAATTCTAAATATGACCTAAATGGCCTTGCACCTCATCTTGCATAACACTTCCCTCATGTTACCTTGGCTTCTTGTTGCCTTAACAACAGAAGGGGTTGCTAGACTCTGAGACTTTTCATATATTATCCTTCTGCCTGATTTCATTGACTTTTCTCCCATGTTCACTGTCTAATAATTATTTGAGCTGGTCATGGTGCCCTTAAAGAATGCTGTCTCATGGAGCCTCCATATCAAGCCCTGCTGTTCTTCTCTAAATTCTAAGTTCAACCTGTACCTTAATTATGGATTTCTATGTACCACCCGTGAAATGTGTTCAGTGCTACTGGTGGCTGGGCCCTGGCATGCTGTACTGTACATCTTCTGGAACCCTGTAGACTGGCTTGAGGCAAGGATATCCTAGTTTATTGATGCTCTACCAGCACCTAACCTTGTATATACTCTCAGCTTTTAAAGTATCATCACTGACTGTCCTACCTATTGGTTTTCTGGGATCCAGTACCACCAGCCTAATAGCAAACATTCTCCTGTTTCTTATTTATTTTATTTTATTTGTATGGATGTTTTACCTGCATGCATATATATGCACCACATTTGTGCAGTGCCAGAAGAGGCCAGAAAAGGGTGAGGGTCCCCTGAAACTGGAGTTACATATGGTTGTGAGCCACTATGTGGGTCTGTGAGCTGGATCTGGGTCCCCTGGAAGAGCAGTTAGTGCTCTTAACTGCTGAGCCATTTCTCAAGCCCCACAGTGTCTTGTTTTAATGACATACACATAATTAATCCCACAGTTTGAATTCTTTGGCAAGACTGTAGGAAATCACTGTTATTATTGGAGTTACTGCTCTTGTGATTCTTGAAAACAATATTTTTCATCTAGAAAAATCATAGGAGGGGGTCCAAACATTTTGTCTTTTTGGGGGGTGATAGGCTTTCATATTATATCCCACAAAGAGACTCTACTTCTCCTCCCCCAGTTTTAACAGCCCATAGGGACCTTGGTAGTTGTCCTGAGTCCTTTCACCAGTATCAGGGAAGGAACAGGTTCAGAGTCTGGTTTGAAACAAGCAAGGTAGACTCATCTTTGACAACACTGAAGAGAAGTCATGCTGTTCACCTTACTGCTGTTTGTGTATGGTGTTTTCAAGTTTGGGGAAAACCACAAAGACTCACCTTGTCATGAGTGGGGGTGTTCTTGGATGAATGGTACCTTCAATTCATATGTTGAGTTACAAATTAGAAGTTAAGATCTTGCAAGTGATAAATTGGATAAAGTGAACTCTTTAAGGTGCTCCTGAGCCAATGTGACTGCTCTTTCTTAAGAGATAAAAATACAGATAAGTACAGAAAGAGGCCAATGTGGAGATACAAAGAGAAGAGGGATATCTATAACCCAAGGAGACAAGCCTTAGCAGTTAACTCTTCAGGGATGTTGATCTTGACTTCCCCAATCTTTGGAACTGTGATGAAACAAGTTCTTGTATAAATCACCCGATTCTGGTGGTTTGTGATAGCAGCCCTAGAAAGCTAAGTCTCAGCACTGAGACTTTGATTAGAGAATATAACCAGTCAACACCTTTGTTTTTAATTGAACACTTACTGTAAGCCAGACACTATGCTGTGCTATATGGAAGAGGTAAGATGTTATATATGATCACTTCACTTCTGAGGATAACAGTAGAATAGGAAAGGCATGTTGAAGGAATGGACAGTTAACAGCAAAGCCAAACTCAGACCTTTCTCTGAGGGAGGCCCCATAGTGTCACTGGAATAGCATGAAGTGAGATAATTGAGGAAAGATCTGCAATCATGAGATGAGCATAACACCTCTTCCTCATAAGCCCTTAGTCAAATTGCATTCCCAATCAGGCTGTGCTTCCCCCAGTTGTGAAGTAAGAGTTGATTAGAAACACCATATGTTGGGAGGACTGTTTCAGTTCACACAGGTACAGGACCTGACACAAACTAACTATTCAATAAATTCTGGCTGTGATCATTTAGAAACAGCCCATGTATCCTCCTCACCATGGACACTTCAGAAGTCTGGGTCCTCTTCGTGTATTAGTTTCCTTGCAGGTGCTAGCCTGTGGCCTAAAAAAGTACTTATCTCTGGGGAAAGCTCCTAGAAATTCAAAACCTGAGCCCAGCTTGTGCTGGGATCTGTTCAAGGAGCCTTCACTTAACCAGGGATCAGGTGACTAAGAAGTTGCTAAACAAGATCTATGACAGATCTTACTAGCCTCATCCCACAGGGGGATGGGACAGAGGATCATATTACACACTGTGGGCACAAACTTTAGGATCCAGACTATCTCTGCTTCCAACTGGCTCCTAAACAGGTTTGGGTTGTTTCCTTATCTATGCAATCTGTCTTCTGGTTCCACAAATTTGACCTCCAGCCTTCCACATACTGGGAAACTCAGGGAGTCATCTAGGACAAGGTACAAATGGATGCCATTTGTTCTTTATTTTTACTCACTGTTTTCTTATACAGAAAGACACAAAAGTTTACAGCTAAACTTAACAATTGTAAAAAGGGAGCCAGAGAGCATGCATGAGAAAGGTCAGAAGCAAGTTGGTTTGTTGCCCCCAGGCTCCATTTGAAATCTCAACATCCCAACGTATGACTGAATATACAGATGTCCCAGCTGACACTGGTCAACACATGAATACAAGCACAGTTTCAAATGGTACCAAAATTAATCCATTTCACATCAATCATAAGCTCAGTTGCACATATCAGGGTTGCCACTGTCACAAATTCACAATGACAGAGTGAAATAGCAGGTGGATTCAGGCCTGGGAAAGTGGTATCAATGAGGCAAGACAGGTTGGGAGGCAAAAAGTAGCTGGAGGGTTGGTCCCAATCCCAGATATCAGTCTTAATGCTCACTGGGAGCTGGAGAAGGGCAGGCATGTTGTTCAGAGGTCAGATAGCAGTACAATGAAACAACTGTTGAGACATCAAGCTGAGGGGGTGTGCTGTTTGGAGATTTTTGTCAGAGAAATTCTTGTTAAGAGAGAGAGAGAAATTCGCCTCCCACGGCCTGGGAAAGGAGAAGCTCTAAAGTTTGAAGACTTAGGGGTGAATGAGGGCAGGCAGTCTGCTAGTGCAACATCTGCTTTAAAGAACACTTAGAAAAACATGAACTGGTGTTGAAATTGCAGTCAAGATCACAAACTATGTTATTCACAGGGTAAATACAGACACAGAGTGAAAGGCTGCAATATCTAGCATCCCCACAATGGAGAGAGAACAAGAGATCACCCTGCACAGAAAGAACCTTACACACAAGAAGTGCTAAACTCCAAGCTGAAGGCACAATGAAGGGATCCTTGGCGCCTCAAGCTTTTCCTTTGAAAAGGGTACCCATTTTAAACTGAATTCCTTCCACAAAGAAGTCCCTGAAGACTGACTGAAAGGAAGATGCTTTCAAATATTTTTATGTAGCAAGAATAGTGGTTACTGTGAATTATCTTCAATTAGGATTTCCTCTAAGTTCTGAATTAGTGGGCTCAAATTAATGGGCTTTTACTGTAGTTGGAAACAGTGTGATTACAGAAGTCTAAAATTAGCTAATTATACTGATTAGTATTAGGAGACTTTAGTGGGGAAGATGTGACTGTTCCAGAATCTCAGTGACGCCTGGAAATGGAGCTTCAGCACTTGACAAGCTCAAAAGCAGTCCAGCCCAGCAGCTCAGGCTTTACTGTGAGCAAACACACAGTCAGAGCACACACACTGTACTAAAAAGACACAGTCCTGGCAACTCACAGCCTGTCTCTGCCATTTTTCTCTCACTTGAATTAAAAGACAATCTAGTGGAAATGTTGGGGTTTTTTTTCTTAGTTTTCTTATGGGATGCCATTTGGTTGTCAAAAGATCCATCAACTCTGGCTGGGATCTGGGGAGTTGCCATCCACTGGGAGAGGGGAATTATCTGTCTGGAACTGCTTAAACAGAAAACACTGCTGTCCCTAATCCCTAATGTTTGGACTACCAACAAGACAATGTCCAAACAATTGTGCAGATGCTTGTTTGCTGGAGCACCCTAAGGAATTCACACTAATGGCAGTGGGATTGGCAACTAGCAGAGGAAGCCTCAGTTTCCCATGTCCAACTGCTCGGGATCACGCCTCTGTAATAAGCCAGGGCACAGCACAGCTGTGCACGGGTATGCACATGTCAGGCACCTGTGCACCCCATTCTTTCTTTTGTGCTTTCATTTTGAAAACCCAAAGTGATGGGCAGTCTGGGAGGGGACTGACAGGACTGCTGTTATTGTTGAAAAAGTCTTAAAAAGGTTTTGGTTGAAAACAAGTGACAGCCTTATTTTAAGGAAATTTTTAAAGCCTTCTCATTTTTACAGAAAAATATCTAAGTAACTAACTCCACCATTCTGAAAGTCAATAGTCACACACGCACACACACACACACACACACTCATTTATTCTCTCTCCTTTCCCCTACACACACACATTCATTCTCTCTCCTTCCCACCCCCACCTCTCTCTCTCTCTCTCTCTCTCTCTCTCTCTCTCTCTCACACACACACACACACACACACACACACACACACTCAGGAGTTCTCAGATTTCCTTCAGCTGCTGACACCTACAGAATAGGCATGTGAGTGGGAGGGGGTCCCATAGAGTGCGGGCCCCACAAGATGATGACAGTTTTCCCTTCAGAGAAGATACCTCCTGGGACAAATAAAACTACACACCAGCTAACATTTCATAGAAGCAATGAGAAAAGACAACATGCCTACATGTATACACACGCACACACACACAAGTCTCAAACAAATACAGATGTGGCTACTGAATTGTTAGCATTGTATCAAATCAATGTCTATAGAAAGACAGAGTTTGAAAAGATATGTACAGGGCATTCATAAAGCCAAGTGTGCACCTTGAGGAATTATGCCCATTATATATACTAAACACTATGCTGTGAAAAACCATTGCAGAGGCCTTGGCACAAATCACCTGGAAGAGCTCTGTGAAGCACCTGACCCAGAGTCCACAGGCCACATGCAAGGAGCTGCTTCTCATTCACCCTGCATCCGGTCCTCAGCTCCTGGGGCTATATATCACTCTCAACAGGCCTTGGGAGTAGGTTTCCTGCTCTTACCCATGTATCCCTAGCCTCTAGCTGCCAGGCAGCTCAACAGAAAAACCTCAACACATGCCAAAGGCAGTGGGCATTCCTTGGCATACTCTCTGTGGCTCCGGTCAGTGGAGCCTATGCCTGACTATCTGGGGGAGGAGTCACATTGGGGTAAGTCTTTTTTTCATATATCCCAGGTCACAATCAGGCACCAGCTTAATAAAATGCTTGGAGAGGTTGGGCTGACCCAGAGCTTCCAGCTTCCCCAGGATCTCTGTCATGTCTGAATGAGATTGATCTCAATCTCCATCATGGAAAAAACAGGGAGCTTCAGAGCCCCAAATCCCTTCATTAGGAAGGGCCAGAGCGCAATACTAGAAGACCAATGGAGAGGAAGAATAAAAAGAAAAATGGAAAAAAAGAAAAGGGAAGAGGGAAGGCATGAAGGAAAGAAATCAGCAAGGGAGGGAGGGTGAGAAGAAGTTCAAAATGGAGGGATAGAGGGAGGAATGCCATCTAGTCAGCATTTTTGGTGTCAGGAAACTGGGGAGAGAGGAAGGCCCACATAGGATCAAATGGAAAGAGACTGACTCCTCAGATTGACAACATCAGAGGCATTTGAAGCCCTCAACTAAAACCAGTCCCTCACAGCTAATACCTATTTCTAAAAGAATCCTGCTAAGGGCAAACTTCACTGGTTCCAAGGTGCTTCAAGCACTTCAGGAGCATTAGCTCTATCAGCCTCCAATGGGCCTGCGAGGTAGGGGAACCACAGGGTGGAGTTATTACAAGTTGGCAGCCTCACTGGGGTAAGAACATAACCTTGACTAGAAACACTCCCCCCCCCCCCCGGGAAAGTCCCCTTCACTGGAACAGCCTCTAGAAGTCATCTGGGGCCTCAAGGTAGGGCTGCATTCAAGGAATGTGTCTTAGTGTCTGCCTTGGAGAGCTGCTTAGACAGAAGGAACCTTTTCAACACTGTGGATTGGAAACCATTGCAGTTGCCAACAGACCCACACTATGCATTCTTTTTGGGCCCCACGAAAATGTGCTACATTTTTTAAAGCACCACAGAGGAAAAATGATTTGGCACAGAGACCAGGAGAATAGACTGGAGCGGGTAGAGATGGTATCAACAGTGTCTTTTACTTTATCATTGACAGTTAAAGAGCAAGTCACCTCTGCCCAACATCTTCCAAAGCCTCATTGAAAACATATCAGCACCTGGCTGTGGCAGAGCAAACCCCAGGTGGGCTTTAGACCCCAGGTCATGGGCTTTCCTACTAAGAAAATTTTTAAGAGACACTTCAGGAACTTCTCCCTGTATGGGCACCATCATTAGGAGAATCACAATCTTAAGTTCAAGTTCAATGCACCTATTTACAAAAAAAGGAAGTATCCTAAAACTTCAAAGCCAGACAGCACAGTGGCAAGGAGGTGGAGCTCATGGTTTTAACTATCCTATGGATTTATCAACCCCACAAAAGTGGAATCTTGAGCTTTCTGTGCCAGTCTGTAACAACCAGGGAGAGGCCCTGGGCTCCATGGGGGAAGGAGACATCAGTTTCCCACATACAGAGCACTCTAAGGTTACATATGGCCTTATGCCAGTGTGGACTTGTTTTTAGTACAGCTGGTTCACATCAGAAACAAGATGGCAGAGTTCAAGTGGGCCCCTTGATTGGTCTGGAAGAAGGAGCTCTGCCATCCAGCCCTCTTTCCTCATCCTTCTCATGCCCTGTCCTCCTACCAGCCTGATCTACACATAGATTTCATCCTGGTCAGGAGCATAGGGATGGGTGTTGGATGAAGGCTGTGCCAATGTCTATTTAATTGATTTCTTCTGGAGGGCTTCAAAGGGCTATTGTTTTCATCTATGGTTCATTATCTATTACTTGTGTTTTGTTCCTAGTTCAACCCTTATTTCTGTCCTCATAATATGTGTGAGAACAGTAAGCATGGAACTGTTGAGAAAGGGGAAACTGCAGGGCTAGCTTGACCACCTCATCTCTGTGGCCTAGGTCTCCAGAAACACAGGGGTTCCCAGACATCCCCATAGCCTCAGGGATGAGCCTGTGGACATGCTGGCCACATTCTGGCCACAATCAACACCATGAGATGGTTCCTTTGGCATAAGAGAAGCCAGTCCCTAAAGAGAGGGCAGGACAGTGGGGACTTGGCATAGTTGGGGGTGGGGTAGGGGTCTGAAAGACCCAGGCTTTCAGGTCTGTAGCTTTTCCCTGGGGTATCATGTACTTGTCCTATGCCCCTACCCCCTCCCCCGACACACACAGACACACCAACTGTCTCTACTAACTGACTTCCTACAAATCCACTGTTGGGGAATTATTTGGCAACAAGGAGGCTAAGGCTGTTCTGTGGTGGCACAGTCTTTCAGAAGTCCAAAAGGAAGCAGGCTACCTCTGGAAGAGGCTTTTATACAGGCCAGGGCCTGTGCTTAGCTACTTGTCTGCACTGGGGCTGGCTGCCACAATTTCTTCATACTTTGGGGGAGGGTCACTGTAAGAGACACTGGCCTCCTCACTGCTGCCCTCCTGGGGTGCAGTCACTTCCTCATAGGAAGGAGGAGGGGTAGCACTGGACAGTCTGGAGAGAGAGAGCTCTGGGAGGTAGAGGGTGCTCTCCAGCCGGACAGTGGTTCTGCCTCCCCGGCTGGGCCCCAGGACTATCTGAGGGTTATTCCCTGCCTCTCGGTGCACAGAGGACTCTCCCTGACTATGCACAGTGCCCCTGTATACCATGACTCGGGGGAGGTTGTGCCCGGTGCGACTGGCTAGGTACCGGTTCTGAGCATAGGAGGGGTGGTGACGAGTTGCTTTCTGCAGCTGGCACCTCCAGATGATGAACAAGGCAATGACAATCAGCAAGACTACCCCCAGAAGGGGCACCACCACATACATGGCATCTGAGCTCTGTGAGGGATCTCGAACTGAGTAGACTGCATTTGGGTATCCCTTCCAAAACTCCATCTGCAAAAGAAGAAAGGTCACTCACTCCTGAGGAAGACAGACACAACACGGCAATTCTCACGTAACATCCATGCTCTGGACATCTGAGATTTCTAGCAAGTCATGTACCAAGGACAGGCTTGTGATTCCTTCTCCACCCTGAGTCATCTTACTGGCCTGAGAGTGCTCTCAGAGAGCCTGGGGAATCCACCAAGGATAAAAGCCAAAGCTCCCCGATGAGGAAGTTCACACAAATCATGCAACAGACCTAGGGGACACCCCAATGTTCCTTTCGGGCTCCAACAGGCAAGATGTAGGCTGGGGTGGTGTTCTTCCCTTGTTTCAGACCTGTTCTTATTATTCCCAAGATTGCACCTCCTCCCAGAACCCAGCCCCAGGGCAGTACGTGCCGTTTTTTCTTTGTTCTCAAATACTTCCTTGACCTCTTCATAGCTGCAGATCTCTTCCATGCACTCCCGCTCGATGGTGCCCTGACGTAGCTCCTCCAGGAACTCATTGGCCCGAGGGAACCGTTTCAGGACTGCATGGGCATTCTTGGCTTCCAGAAACACTGAAGAGACAACCACAGTGATACAATTCAGTACCTACAAACCAGACTGGCCCAATTATGAAGGGAAATAGGGCAAATCCAGTAGACCTAAAGCCAGGCCTCCACCCAAAGGCCAGGCCTGGCCTATTGCAATGAGGACAGGAGGGCTGACTTTCTATGAGGCTGTGCTCTCCAGCAGCACCTCAGGGGCCCAACAGGGCCCAGATCCTTTGTCATACCAAGGAAAATGAGACCAACTGAGAAGGAACTTCAGGTGGCACAGGAAAAAGGACCAGTCTCTATGTACTGTAGTCTTGGGTGAGAAAACATCCAGTTGCTTCTGCATCTTTCTTGAAAAAGGAAAGCCAGAGCCCTTATCATGAGAACTGGTCCCTCTTCCAGGCTGCCATTGGTGGGAGTAAAGTCAGGCATGAGCTGTGGCTTTGAGGACGAAAGCAATCACTAATGGTGAGATTGCTTACTCTTCACAGTAGGTGATTCCCCTCTATGCCCAAGTTGATAGGTCTGGCCTGTAGGTCCTCTTCCTCAAGATCTACGAGGTGCTGCATTAGTATACCTCAGAGCAACCCAAGGAGAGAAAAGCTGAAAAGATGGATAGGTTTCATGAGCCTCTCTGACTCAGATGGTTCTACAAACACTCACCAGCCATGATGCTCTCTCAGCTCCAGTGTCTCACTTGCCTGGCAAGGAAGAAAAGAAAGTTGTGGTGAAATCCTCCGGGGTCTAGAATGTGACCTCCCACCAACCTAGCTAAAAGGTCAAAGCAGCATCCTCTGAGGCACAGCACCCTCATGCAGCCACTCACCTCCTGCTGCTTCTCTTTTGTCCTCAAAGACCTTCTCCAGAGCTCTCCAAAACCCAACAGAGCCTTGTTCTCCTCTCTCTCTCTCTCTCTCTCTCTCTCTCACACACACACACACACACACACACACACACACACACACACACACACACACACACACACACACAGAGCCTCCTGTGAATCTCAAAGTCCTAAGGGTTCATCTTTTTTCAAATGGAAAGCATGTCTGGGCTAACATTCCCTATTCCTCAATCCCTTCAAAGAATCTTCAAAACAGAAAGGACCCCAGGTGAGAAACCAAGGCCAGAGATCCAGAGATAGGGTTGGGTAGAAGCAAGGTTAAGCAAATTGACAGAGACAAGACCTGGCATTGAATTTGATGGTGAAGATGAGTCCCAAATACCTCTAAAGATGAACATGTTTATTAAATACCAAACTTAATGCAACAATAACAGTCATCTCAGGCTAAGGCTGGCCTACAGTAATCTGTAGATATCTGTTGTTCAGGGTCAGAACTACGATGTACAAAATAGATATATTCTTACAATCCCTGTCCCAACACAGACAATCTGCTCAGCCCATCTTCCCCAGAAAGAGAGAAAAGATGTTTGGACTTTTCTGGAGGCAGGCCCATCTTTTCTCTTTGCAGTAAAGACTACTGCAACAGAAAACTTTGGTAAACACATATTTAAAAGATCGTCATGAGCCGGGCGGTGGTGGCGTACACCTTTAATCCCAGCACTGGGGAGGCAGAGGCAGGAGGATCTCTGTGAGTTTGAAGCCAGCCTGGTCTTCAAAGCGAGTTCCAAGAAAGGCTCAAAACTGCACAGAGAAACCCTGTCTTGAAAAACCGAAAAGAAAAAAAAAGATCATCATGAAGACACAGTTCTGGAGGTATAGCTTATTAATATAGCACATGCCAGGAATGTCTTAACATTCTGGGTTTCATCTTCAGGACCACAACAAACAAATAAATACAATACAATAAAAAAAACTTCAATGGTAACTTAGAGGAGAAGCCTCTATCTACAAGTATTGTCATAAAGCCTTTCTCTGCTAAAATGATCCTACATGTACACATATTCTGGAGCACTGTCTAAGCCATCAACATCTGGGAACAATCACCCCTCTGCTCCCCTCCCCAAGTAGAAGCTCATGTTTTATGACTAATGGGATACAAGACACATGAGTTTTGTAACCCTTTTTGCTACCCTTTTTGCTTAGGCTGCCAGGAAGTTCAGTGTTAATACTGATAGCCAAATACAAGTGCTTTGGAAGCCCAGCTGTTACACACATATGCTTTTCTCCCCACAACTTGGTATGGTGTTCTATTTATTCTTCCAGAGGCTTATTCCTATGGCATATTTAAAACATGACTTCTAGTCTGTCTGGAAAACAAAAAGGATAAAAATCATGAATAAATTTTAAATGATGGGGAAAGTAAACCAATCTAACAGCATATCTAACAGTACTATCACTGTGTCAAGGGGTTTTCTCACTGAAATACCTCAATTTTCACAATGACAAAACCTGGCCTCACTGTGATCTATGGGGTCCATGTGATGAGGGTGTAGGGAGAATTGCATTAGGAACAGGCTGTTTTGGTTAAAGAAAAATAAAGCTGCCACACCAGAGTTTGAAAAGAATGAGCAAAGCTTTCGCTAATAAGAAAGCAAATACATCCCACTGCTTACTGGTGAACTATAGAGTTTTCAAAAAAATTTTACATGGAAAAGTTATATAATAGCTTTATGTACAGCCATCTTTGGTCCCAACCAAACACATGGACTTCCGTACATTCATACATACATACATCATAGCCCCAAGTTTGTGTTATCCTGGCCTGGAAAAGCCATTAGTTCATTTTGAGCCTCAAAGAAGCCAGGATCTCCCCCAGACAGTTCACATGGCATCGCCCACCCCATTAGCAGTTCTGTAGCCACCATCACTGCAGCTGCTGCTTCTTCCGTGAGGGCTTCTCCCCCTCCCGCCCCAAAATGTAGCGCCTGCTTCTTCCCCTATAAATACACCATCAATAGGCAGTTGCTATGGCAACAGTGAGGAAGCATGAGGGCTCCACAGAGAATGCAGCTGCAGTCACGCATGTATATGTCCCTCCAGCCCCCGGTGGATACTGTACAGCTGACTGTAGGCTGAAGGAATTTTTAACCCACTCCCCACAGGAACACAGCTGAATCCTGACATTCTAGAAAGGAAGGAAGGCAGGGAACCGGCCACCACAAAGACCTTCCTTAACCCCACCCCAGACTGAGGCCTCTGAATCCCAGCTCTCTGGGTCATAGCTCTCAAAGTGCCTCCCTCCCACAGAGACTGGTGGCCCACTTGAGCATCTGGTGTCCCCAGACTTGGCCTCCAGAATCGCTTCTTCAAATCTTAGCCCCTGTGATTTCCATCACTCAGAACTACTCGACAGGAAAGGGTTCTGCGATTTCCAAATCTCATGATTCATCAATCCACTCAGTGACATGGCAACTCCCAAATTGTGCTCAAACTCAAACTCTGGGGTCTCTTGCCCCCTTCCATTCATGCCCGCCCTGAAAGTGCCTGGCTTAGCCCACCTTTGCTGGACACTAGCGCCCTGATGAAGAACACTGGCCCAGCAACATTCTTCTGCCAGGGTCTACTCAAGACTCCAAACACCCTGGCCTTCCTGACTTCCAAATCTTCCCTCCCCAAAAGTACCCAGCGCCCAGCTTAGTGGTCCTGAACATCAAAGCATGCCCTCGGGGCTGGGGTCAACCAACCAAACAGCCTCACCGTTCTCCGGGCCCAGGAGGCTGCCGCCTTGTTTGCGCTTGCAGCCCGCCACCTTTCTGCGGCGCCTCTTCCAGCAGGGCCCCTGTCCCCGCCCACCTGCTCCCTGTCGGCCAAGCCCCGGGCCCATCCCAGCGGTCTCCTCCCTTAGTCCCTCCCTGTCCCGCTTCCCTCCCGCCGCCCCTGGCGCCCCAATGTCCGCCAGGCCGGAGCCAAAGAACGCCTGGAGCCCCCGCCCCTCACAGCCAGGCGCACAGGCCTTGCCCATTACCTCGGCAACCCCCTGCCTGTCCCTGCTCTCCTCTAGGGGCTCCGTCGGACCCTCCCCCCGCACCCTGCCGAGCAAGCTCTGGCCTCGCGCCCCGCGCCTGGCGTGCCACCCTCGAGAGCGCCAAAACCGCTTGCCCCAATAGCCAGGCCGCGAACGTTGCGCTGCCCCGCGCACCAGGCCTCCGGGCCAGGAGAGGAAGAAGGGGTGGGGCCAGCTGAACCGCCCAAGGACTTAGGTGGGGAAGGCCAGCAAGCAGGGCCGAGGGGAGGTGGCGCGCACCAAGCACCGCGCTCCCGCGCCCAACTCTGCCGGCACCGCCCCTGCCGGCGCCCGAGCTGCTGGCGGGGGGAGGGAGGGGCGGGGCCTGACCAGCGGGTCTGGGCCTCTCTGAAGACCCTCGGACACCTCCTTGGCCGGGTGGTGACTCAGAACGCCAGCCCGGGCTCTGTAGCTGCCGCTCCAGGCATTTTGGAGCCGCACAGTCCGAGCTGCCTCCTGGGCCCCACTTAGGCTCACCTGCCATTCCAGCCAGCCTGGCCCTGGTACCTTCGGAGAAGAGAGGGGAGGATGATAGTCAGCAGAGGCTGCCTTGTGAGGCTCCTAGGGTCAGCAGAGGACTGGCGGAGTTCTGGCCCCTCTCATTCCAGTGAATGAGTGACATTTGTTTCCTCACTTACATCCCCCACCCTGCCAGAGAATGGTAGGCTATTCTCTTGTGAAATCTGAGAAATGGGGAAAATCCTGCTTCCCTCACAGACCTGAAGCTAGAAGGAGGGGGAAATGGGATCCTGAAAAGGGGCAGAAAGAAAAGAAGATGCAATCTTGTGGGCCTGCAGGGAGGGTTGGACAGTATACACCTTAGTCTGTACTGTGGGAGGTTCAGCCTGGTTGGACAAAGCCCTGGTAGCAGAGATGGCATTATTCTAGGAATTGAGGTTTGACCACAGAGTGAGGCAAGATGGTTAGGTATGGGTCTTGGAAAGCATAGGAGGTGCCCAGTGTGCCTTACTGGGTTAATGGAGAGAGCAATTTTCAGCACAGCCCTGCACCGAGGGTTGCTGTCCTCCCTGAGGCACTCCCTTTAATAGGAACCAGCCAGAGTAAGGCCAAGATTATGAGACAAGGGATGGGAAGAGGCCCCAGGGCCCCCAATGCTCCAGCTTCCAAGGCTGATTCTTTGTTGCTCCTAGCCCTTCACCTCTCTCTTTCCTGACCCACCCCCATTGTTCCTTACCTGCCTCCTAAATTCATTGTCCTCCCTCTTCCTTTCTCTAAGCTTCAAGAGCATTCCTTGCCCATTGCAAAGCTTCTGTAATCTTTACCCCATGTAAGGCTAGGAAAGCCGTGCCCATGGGCAGTTTGCACAGAGAAAAATAAGATGCCCTGGGTATGAGAATACCTTTGGTTGCTACTAACAACTGTATGCAGATGTTCTGGCTGGATGGTGAAAGAGCTGGATAGAGTCATGGTCAGTGGGGAAAATGACCAAAGCGGTTTCAGTGCTAACCTTAGTCTTCTAGCCCATCAGCATGCTCCTGACCTCATTTCAACCCCAAGCACTTGGGTAGACAACTCCAAAGAAGGGGCCAGAGTGGAGTGTACCAATATGCACAAAGAGCATATATGGCATCTACTGTCCTCCCAGCACCTTCACTTGAGCTTCTTGCTCCAGCAACACCAGCGTACTTCTAGTTCCTTCTCCACTCAGAGTGTCTTTCCTCCCACCGCCTGTCACTTAGTTCATTCTGCACACACAGTACCAATGAGATTTGCACTGGAGGTCTTGCAAGGCCTTCCACCCCCTCCCACACTGACCAGTGCATTCTCAGCATTGTCTACAGGGACTGGAAACATGGAGCCTCAGTGCATGTCAAGGGAGGGAAAAGGAAGGCAAGTAGGACCTCCAGACAGCGCCGTGCTGAATCTCTTGGCAGGACCACACATTGCTCCATGATCTTTAGCAAGTGAGTTGGCGTCTGTGTATCTTACTTTGCTTATCTGCCAAATGGGAATGAGGCTAGCAGTGCCTGCTTCAAAGGGTAACCCAGAAGGTCAGTGAGGTGTTCAGTTAAAGCGGGCCTGGTGCTCACAAGTGAGCTTAAGACATAGTAACTCTGGCTTGCATTCTGTGCATTGAGTGCCTCCTCTCTCTTGGACCTAAGGGCAGTGCATCCTTCCATATTACTGGCATCAAACACAGAGGCTTATCCACAATAGATGTTTACTAAATCCTTGTAAACCAGAAATGGTGAGCTAGAGTCAAGATTTGCTATAAAATTACCACCATGAAGTTGGACCTGTTTCCTCCTTCTGCAAGCCTTGACCACCCTCTCCTTCCTTGTCCCTCAATTTCACCAATTTCATTACCTCCTCTCCCCAATTTTCCTCTCCCTTACCCCTCCTTGCATTTCTTCCTATGCTTGTTTGAAACTACATTAATTATTTTCCTGATACCCATTCATCAAAATTGAACTCTTCTGGAAGTCTTCCTGACCCTCCTTTCCAAGTCTCATTTCATCTTGAAGTCAGCACTGAAGTCACTCCATAAAAGACTCACATTTTCTCTGCACATTCTTCACCCTCTACACACTATTCACTGATTAGATTGTAGTCTCAAATGTTCCTCCTCCCAGTCCTTTACATGGTAGCCCTCATCTCACTACTTCAGACTGAGACTGTATTTGGAGATGGGGTCTTTAGTGAGGGAACTGAGGTAAAATGAGATCTAGTACTAGTACAGTGTAACACGGATCCTTATTACAAGGGGTGGCTAAGACACAATCACACACATAGGGTGATCATGTGAGGGTATAGGAAGAAGACTGTCATCTACAAGCCAAGGAGAGAGATCTCAGGAAGGAACCAGCCTTTCCAACATCTTGAGCTTCAACTTTGAAAGGTGCAAGATTGTAGTGGTATTTGCTCCGCTCATGACCTTAGGCTATACACCTGAAGGAGGAGATGCTTCTTGCTGTTGTATGTGACCTCTTAAAAAGAAAGGGAGAGGGGTCATGAGGTCCCTTTTCCCTGCTTCCTGCTTCCTGGTGTGATCAGACAGCCAGATCAGATTCGTTCCCAGTCAGGACAGAGGATGACTTCAGCTGTCTACTAGGTTCTGTATTCATGTTTTTCCTCAATTTATACCCTAATAAATTCCCCAATACTGCTTTAAAAAAGGAAAAAGGGCCACGTGACCCCTCTCCCTTTCATTTTAAGAGGTAACATACAATGGCAAAAAGTACCACCTCCTTCAGGTCATATAGCCCAAGTTCATGGGCGGAGCAAATACCACTACACAAGACAATATATTTTTCTGTTCAAGTCACTGTACCCTGGGGCTTTTCTCTGATATACCAAAGTCATATATCCTGTATTGTTCAGTGATACTATATGCCAGATTGTAGCTGGAGTTATTTCCTTGTCCTGCCTGGCTCACGGTCAGGACAAATCTCTCTTACCTGCCAATCCTGCAGCTGCTAGGACCCAAATAAACACAGATGCTTATATTACTTATAAACTGTATGGCTGTGGCAGGCTTCTTGTTATCTAGTTCTTATATCTTAAATTAACCCATTTCTATTAGCATATACCTTGTCACATGGCTCGTGGCTTACCAGTATCTTACATCATGTTTCTCATGGTGGCAGTGGCTGGCAGCATCTCTCTCTGTCTCAGCCTTCTACTTCCCAGAATTCTCTTCTCTGCTTGTCCTGCATATACTTTCTGCCTGGCTACTGGCCAATCAGCACTTTATTTATTAACCAATTAGAGCAACACATTCAGAGCATAGAGAACATCCCTTAGCACCAGGTTCTATTCCAGGACCTAGGAATAGAGATAACAATGAACCAAACACAAACTACTAACTCATGGACATTAGACAAGTCCCTCCCCAGAAAGTCAAAATGTAAGAAAGTGAGTGATAACTGGCATTATGGAGAAAAATGAAGCAGAGTAAGGTAGTGAGGGAGGTCTCTACTGAGAACATACCCTTATTTCTGAAACCTGAAGGACATGAGGAACTATTTTGTTCTGGATTGACAGATATACAAATGTAAGCAACCCCAAAGCAGAATTTCATCTATTATTTTCTAGGGTAGGCCAGGAATCATGCAAGGTCTCCCAGACCATCACCAGGGATGTTTACTGTTAGTTAAAATGATGAGGAAAGAAACTGAGGGCTCTCAGTCAAGGAGCACCATAATCTTTTCAATTTCATGTAAACTACCAAACTGACTTCCTTATGAAAATGATTGTCACTGGTGGAAGCTAGGGCACTTTTTGGGGACTGCTGGAAAAACCCAGGAGAAGGATAATGGTGGCTTGTATCAAGCAGTGGGAAGGAAAGTAAATTCTGGATAGAATTTGGTGGAAGATACATGAATATTAGATGGCAGCATGGAATTTAGTGAAGACCTACAAATAGGAGTCAGAGTTTTAGCCAAAGAAACAGGAATGATGGAGGTTCTTTAACTGGGATGCAGGAGACAGGGTGGAGCTGGTTACACTGAGGAGTCTGGAGTTCTGAGTCAGTATCTGGGCTGGAGATGGGAATGGAAGATTATCATTTAGTTAGTTTTAAACCACAAGACAGACACTCAGCATGATTCTGTATATGGAGAAAAAAAAGCACCTTCGGAATTAAGCCCTGAATAATCCTGTATTTCAAGAAAGAATAGAGGATGAGGAGTAACTGCAAGAGGCGGAAGGGAATGATTGGCTGGCAAGAGATGAACCACCAGAATACCAGAATATGTAAGAAACTGACCAATAGTAGCATGAAGACAGGGGTGGGGAACACCTGTAATCCCAGCCTTCCCTTGGGAGATTAATACAAAAGCCTGAGTTTAAGGATCCTAGACCAAGGATCTCTGTATACTTGGAAGAAGGAGCTGGCGGTTGAAGAGCTGGATGCACAATAGGAAGATTCTTTAAGGATGCTGCTTGAAAGGAGTGCCAGAACAGGTGAATATTCAGCAGGGAGGGGTGATTTGAAGGGAGAAAACTTGAAACAGCCTCCTTGGAGACCAAAGGGTGCATGTTCTCTGGAACTGTGGCGTGATTGCCAGACTGCATCAAGGACACACTTGAGGATTAATGGCCCTTACTTTAAAGTGAAAGTATTTATTTACCATGCCTGTGCCTATTTATGCAGCCACAGTCAATTGCACAGGTGCAGACTCAGAGTTAGGGTTTTGCAAGGTGAGTACAAGAAAATGACAGAGGACTACCAAAAAAGGTGTGTGGATTCAATGAAGAAATTCGCATAACTAATTATGGACTCTGGCTCCA